CACAATCTCTCTTTCGCTTACAGAAGTAATGGTATTTGGGATGTACCCGTCCTGAACTTTTTCATATATGAATACATATAGATGCACATACGTAATGTATATATATATATAATATAATATCCTTATTTAAAAGTTCCTAAATTGACACAATGGCAATACTATTGGCACGGGTAGTCAAAACGTGTAAGATACAAATACCTGTAGAATGCATCTAAGTCAAAGTGTGGCACAGAAAACCATTTTGCCTGGGATGCTATAGCCACCAGTATCAGTCCTCACTAATGACCAACTTATATGATGTACATCTATGTTACTGTAGCTGCTGAAAGTTACTATATATACATTTAAATAAATTCTAACAACTAAACTAAATAACTTACCTCTTCTCCAAGCATTTTTTTTTCTGAGTCAAGGGATCGAATCCGACTTCTTAAGGCCAGAATTTCTTCATTCAGTCTCTGATTATGTTCCTTTGCTTTCTGTAGCTCAACTGAATCTAAATCAGAGAAGAAAATAGTTTACTAACTGAATTAAAGGTTTAATTTGGAGACATTAACTCTAAAAACTAAGGAAGTGCTATTTCCTGCCCTTCTTATCAGTCCCACCATGTCTCTCACATGTGGCCCCCTGCACAGTGGTACCACTAGATCTTCTAGCCCAGTCCTAGAATATTCTATCAATCTATCAAAACAGAACTGGTGTTTTTCATTTATCACAACAGACTAATGAATTGGACTTTTTCAATGTAGAGTTGCTACCAATAGAGGCTATTTTTAAGAATTATTTTAAAATAGTTTAGCCTCCCTTCTTACTATGAGTCAGAATATACAGCTCTACTATATACACATATACATATCACATATATACAACAACACAACGTACTGCCGTGGAGTCACATCCGACTCACAGTGACCCCTCCTTGGGTTTCCAAGGTGGTCGAGGTGTTATCACTAAGGAAGTAGATTGCCCAACCTTCCTTCCAAGGAGTGGCTGGTGTGTTTGAACCGCCAACTTCTGGTTAGCAGTCAAATGCTTAGGCACTGTGCCACCAAAGCTCCCATACCCATACACATATATACCAAAAACCACAGTGCCATCAAGTCAGATCCGACTAATAGCGACCCCTCCTTGGGATTCTAAGGTTGTATCACTATGGAAGTAGATTGCCCAACCTTCCTTCCAAGGAGTGGCTGGTGGGTTTGAACCACCAGCCTTCAGGTTAGCAGTCTAATGCCTTAGGCACTAGACCACCAGAGCTCCTATACATATATATAGACAACATTATATATATATATATAATTGTGATTTGGGTGGAAGTTTACAGACCAAATTCACTTTCTATACAGCAGTTCACATACACTTTATGTCTCATGACATTGACTACAATTCACCACAATGCAACAGCTCCCCTCCACTTCCTCCCCGTAGTTACCTCTTCCCTGTGTCCTCCCCTTCCATGCACTCCTGCACCCTGAGCTATACCCCTGCACATTCACAGCCCTTCTATTTTCCCATGACTATTCTCTCCAAGGAGTGTATCTACCTAATGTCAATGTTCACTTGTTATGTGTCTTTTGTCTGGCTGGAAGCCACAGGTGTGGGTTCAATTCTAGACCTGAAGGGCAGCTAGGGGCCATAGTCTCAGTGGTTCCTTCAGGCTCTATCAGACCAGCAAACCTGGTCCCTTTTTTTTTTTTTTAAAATGATTTTGAGTTTTGTTCCACATTGCTCTCCCACTCTATCCAGGATCTCCTACATAGATCTCCCCCTGAATGGTTGACAGTGGTAGCCGGGCACCATCTAGTTCTTCTGGTCTCATAGTTGTATAGGCTGAGGATCACATGGTGTACCAGTCACTTGGACTATTTCTTCCACGAATCTTTGGTTTTCTTCATTATTCTTTGCTCTGGATGAGGAGAGACCCATTGTTGCATCTACATAGCCACTTGCAAACTTTTAAGATCCCAGTCACTACTCACCAAAGTAGGATGTGGCACAATATTTTTGTGTAGGATGTTATGCTAATTGAGCTTGATGTCCCCTGTGACTATGGTCCTGAGCCCACAGGTCCAACTACTCGCTCCCTGTGGGTAGCTAACTGCAGCCAAGAAGTGACTACTGTCTTGCCCTTTGTCAGCTCTACTGTATACCTGGGAATTCTTACAGAACATACCAATACAGTAAAAATATTGTCTACCAACTCTATACATGTTCTTGGGCACACAACGCCCTGCAGAGACATACCTAACAGTTCAGCCTGTCCACCCATTTATCCACCTGTATATCCATATTTGCCTTCAGTGACAACGCAGTACTGTATGTACAAAAGGGTTCATCTTTGTTGTCTGTACCTCCAATGCACCTCTCTATGTTTTCCTCTTCCTCAATGCCACCACGTTGATCACTCACATTTGATACATTGCCCTTCTCTTCACCCAAATGAATGCTTGTCTTTACCTATCTAACAGTGTTCCCTGCTGTGTTAGACTGGGTTCTCTAGAGAAACAAAACCAGTAAAGCTTATATATAGAGAGAGAGAGAGAAAGAGAAATTTATCTTAGGAAAATGGCTCACACACTTAAAGAAGCTGGCAAGTCCAAAGTTCTTGGATCAAACATCAAGCTGGAGGCTTTTCCCAACTCATGCAGCTGCTGGGGCTGAGGAGCTCAAGGTTGCCAGGCCGTATACTGGCTGTTGATTCCAATGAATGACGAATCCAAGATCTCCAGGCCGAATGGTGGATTGTTCGCTCACGGACAATTGTAGGCAGAATCCTGATCCACAGAAGAGTGTCTCTTTTTCCAGGATGTCCATAAATGTACTGGAAGCAGGCCACACCCCCAGGGAAACGCCCTTTCAATGGACTGGCTGCTCAAAACACATACATCTGATCCCATCATTGGAACAACCCACAACACAATTGCTTAAACCACACAGAATTGTGGTCCAGCCAAGTTGACACAAAGCTCCAACTATCACACCTCCCCTTCCCTCCCACCCCTGGTAACCATCAAAGAAAATTTCCTTCCATATATAAACCTTTCCTTGACTTACAATAACGGGCTAATACAATATTTGTCCTTCTGTGATTGACTTTTTTCACTCAGCATAATGTCCTCCAGGTTCATTCACGTCACGCCGTGTTTTTCTGATTCTATGTTATTCTTTAGGGTTGCATAGAATTTCATTGTGTGTATGCATTGTAGTTTGTTATCCATTCTTCAGTTGATGGACACCTAGGTTGCTTCCATATTTTGGCTACTGTAAATAGTGTTGCAATGAACATGGGTGGGCATATGTCTGTTCTTGTCCTGGCTCTCACTTCTTTAGGATATACAGCTAGTAATGGAATAGCTGGGTCAAATGGTTATTTCTAATTCCAACTTTTAAGGAATTGCCACACTGTTTTCCACAGTGGTTGTATCATTTGACAGTCCCACCAGCAGTGTATGAGAGTACCAATCTCTCCACATCCTTGCCAGCATTTGTTATTTTC